AGTTTAGTTAGGTCCCATTTATTTATTTTTGTTTTTATTTTCATTACTCTAGGAGGTGGGTCAAAAAGGTCTTGCTGTGGTTTATGTCAAAGAATGTTTTTCCTCTGTTTTCCTCTAAATTTTATAGTGTCTGGTTTTACATTTAGGTCTTTAAACTTAATAGATTGTATATCTTTTTTTTTTTTTTTTTGCAGTACGCGGGCCTCTCACTGTTGTGGCCTCTCCCGTTGCGGAGCACAGGCTCCGGATGCGCAGGCTTAGCGGCCATGGCTCATGGGCCCAGCCGCTCGGCGGCATGTGGGATCTTCGTGGACCGGGGCACGAACCCATGTCCTCTGCATCAGCAGGCAGACTCTCAATCACTGCGCCACCAGGGAAGCCCTCCTTTTTATATATTACTGAATTCAGTTTGCTAATATTTTATTGAGGATTTTTGCATCTGTATTCATCAAAGTTATGGCCTGTAATTTCTTTTTTTGGCAGTGTCCTTTTCTGGTTTGGGTTGCAGGATCATTCATGGTGTCCTTGTAGAATGAACTTGGGAATGTTCAATTTTTTGGAGTAGTTTGTGAAGGATAGGTATTAGCTCCTCTTTATATGTTTGGTAGATTCTCCTGTGAAGCTGTCCAGTCCTGGACTTCTGTTTGCTGGGAGTATTTTTAAATTGAAAATTCAATTTCACTACTAGTGATTAGTCTAATCAGATTGTCTGTTTCTTCCTGATTCAGTCTTGGAACGTAGTATGTTTCTAGAAATTTGTCCATTTCTTCTAGATTGTCCAGTTTGTTGGCATATCGCTGTTTATAGTCTTCTCTTATGATTTTTTGTATCTCTGTGGTATCAGCTGTTATTTTTTATTTCATTTCTTATTTTGTTTATTTGGGTCCTCTCTCTTTTTTTCTTGATGAGCCTGGCTAAAGGTTTATCAGTTTTGTTTATCTTTTCAAAGAACCAACTCTTGGTTTCACTGATCTTTTCTGTTGTTTTTGGTTTTTTTGGTCTCCATTTTATTTCCTTTCTGATCTTTATTTCCTTCCTTCTCTGCTGACTTTGGACTTTTTTTGTTCTTCTTTTTCTAACTCCTTTAGGTGGAAGGTTATGCTCTTTCTTTGTGATTTTTCTTGTTTCCTGAGGTAGGTCTGTATTGCTATAAACTTCATATTAGAACTGCTTTTGCTGTATCCCATAGATTTTTTCTAAGGGATTTTCTGATTTCCTCTTTGATTTCTTCATTGAGCTCCCCCATCCCCAGTAGCATGTTGTTTAGTCTCCATATGTTTGTGTTTTTCCCATTTTTCTTCCTGCAATTGATTTCTAGTTCCATATGGTTGGGAAAAATGCTTGATATATACTTTGTCTTAAAGTTGTTGGGACTTGTTTTGTGGCCTAGCATGTGACCTGTCCTGGAGGATGTTCCATTGCACATGAAAAGAATATATTCTACTCTTGGAATGGAATGTACTGTAGATATCTGTTAAGTCCAACTGGTTTGTTTGGTCATTTAAGACCACTGTTGCCTTATTGATTTTCTGTCTGGATGATCTGTCCATTGATGTAAGTGGGGTGTTGAAGTCCCCTACTATTATTGTATTATTGTCAGTTTCTCCCTTTATGTCTGTTAGTATTTGCTTTATATATTTAGCTGCTCCTGTTTTGGGAGCGTATGTTAACCAGTGTAATATCCTCTTTTTGTATTGGTCCCTTTATCGTTATATAATGCCCTTCTTTGTTTTTTGTTATAGCCTTTGTTTTAAATTCTGTTTTGTCTGGTATGAGTATTACTACCGCCACTTTCTTGTCGTTTCCATTTGCATGAAATATTTTTTCATCCCCTCACTTTCAGTCTTTGTGTATCTTTAGCTCTGAAGTGAGTCTCTTGTAGGCAGCATATCAGCCACTCTGTGTCTTTTGATTGGAGCATTTAGTCCATTGACATTAAAGTAATTATTGATAGGTATATACTTATTGCCATTTTATTACTTGTTTTTTGGTTATTTTTATTATTTTCTTCCCTGTTCTGTTCTTTAGTTTCTTCTCTTGTGGTTTGATGATTTTCTTTAGTGGTATGTTTGCATTCCTTTCTCTCTTGTTTTTGTGTATCTATTGTAGGTTTTTGATTTGTGGTTACCATGGGGTTCAAATATGTTGACTTATATCTATTTGTTTTAAATAGTAGTCCTTTAAGTTCAAACACATTCTGAAAAGATCTATTTTTTTTTACTACCTTCCCCTACACTTTGTATTTCTTATATTTTACATCTTCATGTTTATCCCTTTACTGGGATATCAAGTATCCCAGTATCAAGTTATACTTGATTTTATAATTTTTTTGTTTTTTAGTCTTTGTACTAGCTTATTTAAATGGTTGATACTCAGCTTTTACTACATATTAGCCTTTACTAGTGTGATTTTCCTTTCCTGTAGATAATTCGTTCTTGTTTATAGCCTTTTCTTTTCCACTTAGAGAAGACCCTTTAACATTTTATTTTAGGGTTGACTTAGTATTGATGAATTCTTTCAGCTTTTGCTTGTCTGAGAAATTCTTTATCTCGCCTTCAATTCTAAATGATAATCTTGCTGGGTAGAGTATCCTAGGTTGTGTGTTTTTCCCTTTCATCGCTTTAAATATATCATGCCACTCCCTTCTGGCCTGTGGTTTCTGAAGGAAAATCAGCTGATAGCTTTATGGGGGTTCCCTGGTGTATGACTGTTTTTCTCTTGCTGCCTTTAGAATTCTTTTAACTTTTGCCATTTTTAATTTTGATATATCTTGTTGTGGGTCTCTTTGGATTCATCTTGTTTGGAACCTTTTGTGCTTCCTGTATCTGGGTATCTGTTTCCTTCAGGCTTTGGAAGTTTTCAGCCATAATTTCATTGCTGCATTTTTGACCCCTGTCTCTCTTCTCCTTCTGGGACTCCTATAATGTGAATGTTGGTACACATGATGTTACTCCAGAGATTCCTTAAACTGTTTTTGTTTTGTTTTGTTTTTTCTTTTTGCTCTTCTCATTGGGTAATTTTCATTAATCTATCTTCCCAGATCTCTTATGTGTTCTATATCACCTAGTCTGCTGTTCATTCCTTTTAGTTTGTTTTTCATTTTAGTTACTGTGTTCTTCAATTCTGACCGGTTCTTTTTTATATTTTATAGTTCCTTTTAAAAATTCTCACTGTATTCACCTATTCCTTTCCCTAATTCAGTTAGCATACTTATTACTAATGCTTTGAATTCTTTATCTGGTAAATTGTTTATTTCTGTTTCATTAGTCTGCCCCCTGCCCTCAGCCATTTTCTCTTGCTCTTTCAATTGAGACAGATTCCTCCTTATTTGGCTTATCTTTCTCTGTCCCTATGAAATTAGGTGTGACAGTTACCTATGGCATTCTTGAAGGGGTCCTTATGTGGGAGTGTCTCTATATAGTCTGTGTGTTCTTTGGTGGGAGAGCTGTATCTGACATAAACACAGGTCACATCTTCAGTGTGTGCTGGCAGCTATCACCTTGGTGGGAGGTGGGGCTGGAGATGGAGGGGCTAGGGCTGGAGTCAGGTGTGAGGCAGGGCTTCCCATGTTCTCAGTGGCCTATCAGGGGTGGGGTCAGGTCCCAAGTTGCTGAAGCAGAAGCCCTGAGGGTCAGGTCTAAGCTGGCTTGGTTACCTTTAAGTGTGTGCTTTTGCCCCTCCCAGCACTGTCACCCTCACACCAGAGGGGAGCAGTGCTGGAGCAAGAGGTGCAGAAATGGGTATTCAGCAAGGGTCAAGGGTTGAGGTGCTGGCTATGGCAGTCTGGCCTGTCAGAGATCCTGAGTGCCTCTGCTGCACTGCCTGTGCGATTGCCAGTAATGGCTGCCCCTCCCTGTTAAGACAGCCCTTAGGGTTTGAGCTGCCTTGGCATCTTATGGCCAGCTGAGCTTTTTCCTTGGTTGTGGCAACCCTTGCTCCAATGTGAAGATGTGATGCGAGGCAAGCAGTGCTGGAGTATCTGCTCAGCTCAGGTTGGGGGGTATACCAGAGCGTTCACAGGAAAGGAGTCAGCCACTTGAGAGGTTTCAATTTCAATCTCCCTTTCCACCCAGCTTTGAGAGCAGGTGAGTATCCACGTGCTCATGAGTGGACTGCAGCCTTCCCACAGCCCACCTGTTAGTCTCACTGGCCCTCCAACCAGCCAAGGGGGCTCATCTTCCCTTTGTTGGACCCCAGGGCTGAGGCATCCAATATGTGGCTTGAACCACTCACCCTGCAGGGAGGGCCTTTGCCCATGTAATCTCCCTTTTCCTCTTAAGTCCTCTCCCAGGGTCACAGGTCCCAACCTGATTGCTTGTTTTCCCTTCTTACCCGTTTCTGTGTGAATCTTTCTTACAGCCTTGGTTGTACAGGAATCTTTCTGACAGTTTCCAGTTAGTTTTCAGTGAGAATTGTTCCACATGTAGATGTATTTTTGAAGTGTTGGTAGGGGGAGGTGAGTTCCACATCCTCCTCCTCCTTCACCTCGATTCCTCTCCCCATACACATATATTGTAAATAATCAGATGGTCCATGTGCTGGTTTGTCTTATGGATTTATAGTAATTTTTCTTAAGTATACAAAAAATAGTAATAACTTTTATTTCTTTTTGTGCTCTTTTGTGAGTTATAATTTTAACTGGCAGGAATAATAAAGGTTTTTTTAATGGTCATTATAGAGACTAATTTGCACTTCACCTGTTCCTTTATTTTACTAAAATTCTATTAATTGGAGACAAGAAAAAGCATCCTTCTAGGACTATGCTGTAATAGCACAAAGAGATTTTCTTTTATTTCCTCTAAGTTAATATTCTATGTTGATGCAACCTAGACTACCTGAATTTCTATATATGTCATGGGAGTGCTTACATGGTGTATTTAAACCTTTCAGTTGTTACTCTCCCTCAATTCTCAAGCTTACTGCTTGTAAAAAGTTACTTCCTCTAACAAGGTAAGTATGTATTAAATCCTTGAGACAAAAATCTAAATTTTTGGTGTATCTTTTCATCCAAAGTCTTACATTCAAATGAAGCAAGAACAATATTTATTAATGGAAATGAGATTTTTTTCCAACTAATTTTCATAGTCATGTTAGCCTGAGCTACTTGTACAAAAAATTAGCACATACACACACCAAAAAACAAGCAAAACAACAAAAAAACCAAACCACCCCCCAAAAAACAAGAAAATCCTCACTTCAGAAAGTCATAAGGTGACAAGTTTTACTCCTGAGAGGTAGACAACCAAGCAAATGAATATTGTACGTGCATTAACTGAGGCACTTGAGATCACCCAGTTTATTTAATTCATAACAAAATCTCTCTTCAGAATTTAGTGCCTGTGAACAATCACTATATAAGAACAGTGGTCTCAATTTACTTTAACAAAGTCTTACTCTGAAGTTTAGTCATGTAGACCTTAAACTTATAAGAAAATGTATTTCTATCTCAGGCAATTATTTAATTTCTCAAAAGCTAGTAATGAAAGATCAATGTGGGGAGAGGTATGATTTCTTGAAATTGGGAATATATTTTAGCTTGTATTTGTGAAAAAATATATTAGTGACCTGAAAGGACATGGTTCCTCCTATTCTATTTAGGGTCATTTTAATAAAAGGCTCTGGCTTCATCTTATACACTACAAACAGAAAAACATAAACATCATGAATCAGTTTAAGTAGAGATGTGATTAAGTATAGTAAAGGATGGCTTCCATAACATAAATAAAATTCCAAACACTTTGCATGTGAAAAATTTCTGAGTATTAAACAGTAGGGTGATCTCAGTCACAAACTTGGCCTTCACATGAAATGTTTTCATTAAAATTTTAAGTTTTCTTTAAAATAAGAAAAACTTGGAAAGCATAGCTCCCAAACCAGCTAAGTTAGAAACTGCTAATTTTCTGAATGAAAACAGCACTGTTTTTTTTTAATTTTTACACAACTGAATTGAAAGAATAGAAAAAGCACTACAGTTGATATGGAGAACTATTAGGCCATCAGCACAGACATCTGGGAACAAACTTCTTTTACATTTACCATCTTCTGCAGCCACTTGCTTCTGCTTTGTCATTCACTGACATTTCAACCGTGTCGGCTACTGTATCTTCGGACGCTGGTTGGACATGGCCCTCTGACTGTCCTCCAGTGTAGGTGGGGGTGCTGTACTTTAAAAGGATAGATTTAAACTGTATTAGAGGTGCATCTGTACGGACACCCATCGGGTCAAAATGAGTTCGGCTTACTCGAAAGCCTGCTTGAGAAAGACAGCACAAAAACTTTTTTAACCTGGAATAAGGAAAGGAAAAAAATGAGGTTCTTGTACTTTTATTTAAATCACAATGTCATTAAAATATTAAATATATACACTGTCATTCACTGACTGTCTTACTTTGGCATATTCATTCCTTTAATGCTGTGTCTATGGATGTTGTAATAAAAGGGAGGATGTTCAGTATTCACATCAGTCTTTTGCCTCTTGGCTAAATTTGTGGTTGTTTCGTTACTTCTTCTCTTTCCTGAAACATACATATATAAACACAGAAAGTCAGCATTCTCTTAAAATTTACAGCCAAATACTTTTTAAATCCTCTGACACACACCATTTCAACCTATCTATCCAATCTTAATTCTAGATAGCTTTTATTGTAAGAAGAAGATATATATTCTTGATGCTTTCACTATCCTTCACCCATGTACTTTTAATATTTAACTGTTTGCTGAATCAGAACTTCTTTTCTACCTTCTTCAATTTTAAGCCTCAAGTCTATTTCCACATTCTGCAGAAAGCCATTTATGAATTCTGGGCCAGTCATCCCATACTACACTACTCAGAGTTTAAGTTCTGTCATTTTCTGTTTTCCTTGTTGGACGTATTTAGGTCTTTCATGTGTATAAATCCTTTCTTCCCAAATTATATTCTAAGTTCCTAGGAATAATGTCCTTTATTTCTATACTTGTATTCTCTACTGAATGCCAATACAGTTGATCCTTGAACAATGCAGGTTTGAATTGTGTGGGTCCACTTCAACATGGATATTTTTTAATAGTAAAACCCACAGTACTACATTGTCCATGGTTGGTTGAATCTGTGGATGAAGGGCTGACTCTAAGTTATACATGGATTAACCCTGGGGTTGTTCCAAGTGTCAACTGTATTTGATATACAGTAGGTCTTCAATGAACACAAAACAAAACCAACACAAAGTCAGTCTCAAGGGCTTGGATACAGGAATTTAAAAAGGTATAATGTATGATCTCATTGCCTACTTCTTACCACAGTACTTAGCCTTTACATTTTAAGTGAAAGGCAGCTAGCAAGTTAAGTTTCTAGCAATGTATCCTTCCGAAAATCACAAAAGGAAGACAATTGAGATATCCAAGTTACTATGAGATTTTTTCTGAATGTTCAACTCAATTATTTCTACAAGGATGTTATTATGGCCAAATTTTAAATTTTTATGAAAACTAACATTCACTTAAGCAAAAATATTCAGAAGCAAAATTTGATGCATGAAAATGATAAACTGCATTCAAAGATAAATATAAATTATTGTTGAACTGTTGCCTCATGACTCCCCCATTAAATAATTAAAACTTGATTATACTCTCACATTAAGTCTAAGAAGATTTAGGAAAATCTGAGACTAAAAATCTGATACCAAACCTTAATAATTACTATCATCAGCAGTACATGGATTTTTTTGGCCTGATATTTTCTATCATGGAAGATTCTGTATGTTGATATACTAGTTTAGAATAATCATATAATTTCAGAGCTATAAAAGAACCTAAAGAGATTAGTCTAATTCCCTTAATTTATACATGAGAAAGGCTCAGAGATTTAAAATATTTTTAAAACTTATGTTTTACCTTATCCTAAAAAGGTTTTATGACAACTCTTTTGAAGGTGGGGGACCTGGCTGAGGTTATACAACAAACGACACAAAGAAGTAGAATGATGCTCTTAAATCTAATGTGCTTCACAGTATACCATAATGCCTTTTTCTTCCTCCAACAGAGAAATTAACGAGAATAAATCATTTAAGTGATTTGAATCTTCGCAAATTAGTTGAAGATGCCAAATGAACATGACTGTTGGAAAGAGTATGCAGTAATTACTAAACTGTAAGCTATTAGCAGGAGTTGAAATTTTCTTGTCTTTGAAGATCACTAAAATGTTGAGCAACTAATACAAAATTATAGCTTGTAATTATAGTCCTCTGTTCTTTCAGTCTTAACACTGTTTTCTTTTTACCTGTATACAAAACACATTTAGAATCTAACATTGTCTTTTAAAAACTTTAGACATTAAGGCACTGACATTATAAATCTTAACACCCTTTTGATATGAATTTGCAGTGTCTAATATAAGTAAATTTTAAAGTATGCACACACCCCAAATTGTAAGAAAGGCCACGTCATAAATTCTTACGGCCAGAGTATAGGGTCTTCTGGTTAATCAATGGAATTCCTATAAATCATATGTTGATGAGAAAGTTTATAAGAATTAGAATAAAATTTAATCTTAACTCTATAACCTTTATCAAATATAATTTGATCTTATTTTGGTTCATATGGTTCTTTAAGATCTTATACCTCTTGCAAGGGGACCACCATATATTAGAGATGTGAACAAAGTACACATTAATAGAAACCTTGAACTGTGCAAATGCCAGATAAAAAAGGTTTATTATAATTTTGTTGTTGGTGTAATATGAAAATGCATTTTGAAGTACGCTACCAAAGCAATCTCTTCCCTTCCAATTATCCTTCTGCTATGTGCCCTTTTGCACAGACACATACATACATACATATGCACACATATACATACATACCTTGTGCAATGTAATTATCTGTTGTGGTATCATCTGTAGTTTTAATAAATACACCATATTCTTCTAAAATAAAAACAAATGGAAATGATAAAATATTTTACAGATAACAGTAAGCAACAATTTGAAGTTTAAATAAAAGCTTAATTCTGTGCACACTGCTTTTATGAATATGAGATTCTGTGACCAAAACAGGCTACAAGAATTCATTTTTTAACCCTTTAATAAGAGCTGCTTCTTGTAATGACTCATGACAATGCTAGGATGTCTAAGAAGCCCACCCTTATATCAACAGCCAGATAAAACAAAGGAGAAAAAACTTAGCTTTACTGAGTGATAAGTGTAAAGCTAGCGTCCATGTCTTAATGGATATTACAAAAGTTTTGGCCACACTATTCTCAGAGTGATCTCAGAATTCTCTTTCTAGAAAGCGGATGTAGGGTAATAAAATCACAACAGACTTTTAGTGCTTTTAATCTACTAAAATTTAGAAACTACATCTGTCTTAACAAAATCATTATTTATTTCATGCCCCTAATATAAACCTAAAGAAAACTATGCAATTAAAAAAAAAAGTTAACCGGATTATGATTAGACTCATTAGGATTTACTTAAAGCACACAACTTATAATTATACTGCTTTTGATTATAACATCAAATAAAGATAAAAAGATGGAATATTTCTGATAACCAATTTGTAAGCTAGTAAATTAGTGTTCAATTAGTCACCTTGCTTGTTGAGATTTGAAGGTGCATGAACTGAAAACTGACTTTGAGGAGTACACTCTGACTCAAAGATTAATGTCTTTATTAGGGTCTGAATGTCATCTAAACCATGGTGAAGAGATTCAAATAGCATTCTTTTGAGGAATCCAGTATTGAAAAGGGAACTTGACCTGAAAAAAGAACACAGAATTGGGTTTGAGAAATGTTTTCTTTAAAAAAAATAAGTCTTCATAATTTAACAACAAGTAAGATAATTTGCCCACACCTTTTATCATGTCAGTTCTCTAAGCTAGTGGGATTAGTCAAGGATGTTTTATTCACATTATGTCAACAAGAATTTATTGAGCCCTTATAAGGTGTATAAGTCCTGTGGTACAAAGAGGTGTAAGATATACCAAAGTATAAAATTCAGTGTTTACCTTATGAAAGCTTATAAATCTAGACAGAATCTAGACAGGGATATAGTGTAAGGCAGAGGTTTTCACAGTGCATATTCCAGTAATAGTAAACCTTAATTCCAGTGTATATATGGTGGGACAGGGTGAGATACATGAGAATTACATATGCTGGTGGTGATGTAGTTAAGAAATGGCCCAGGGCTGAGTCTGATATGCTTCCCATTTAATTTGAGAATCACAGGTATAATGGACAGAATATCAGTTCCAAGTCAGATAAACTTGAATTCCTGTCCTCATTCCACCACTCACTAGCTATGAAATCTTGAATAACTACTGCTTTTGAGTCTCACATTCCTCATCATAATATGGAAAATAAAACCTCTGACAGACTTGTTATGGGAATTAAATGAGATAGTAGTACACTTACGATCCCTAGTACAAAGTATATCCTCAAGGAAGAGAAGCTATTAAGGTTAGCAAATTATGAAAGGATACGTGATTTTAAGTGTCAAATGAGTGATCAATATAAGATTTACTAAAAGACAATTTAAAGATTATTTTGGGTTTAAACACTTAAGGAGAAACTTCAAAGAGGATGTATAATTCAAACTGGAGGTGGGGAAGGGGTAAGAGACTCGATGAGTGTAAAGACATGAACAATGGCTTTAAGTGAGAAAATCTTAAGTCACGGTTTAGACCTCAGTTTTGGAGGTCAGAAAAACCTGAGTTCTGGCTCTGCCTGTGCTACTAACTAAATTTTAGGGGGTCAGTTTTAGCCAGCACTTAAATACACTGTGCCATAATTTTCTCATCTGTAAAATGAGGGAGGAGTTGGGCTAGGAGATCTTTCTGGATCCGGCAACCTGTTCTTAATTTCCCTAGTTCCAAGATCAGTGAGTAGGATCAATGTGTGATATAAGTAAGAGAGTACTAGAAGGTAAGGCTGGCCAGGTCATTCTTAATCTACAAGTATTTACATGAAATGAAGATAAAATAATGGGTATCAGCACAAATATGTTTACTATTAGGTTAATTTTTAGGCTTAATTGATGGCCAAACCTTGGCCTGGTAAAATAATGAGGTTGAGGTTTGCAGTGATTCTTGTCACAGTGCTGTCAGGAATCTCAAATTTCTACAAGAATCTCTAGTAACAGACGCTTATGGGAAGGTTTCTGAGTAAAAGCAATTCAACTTTAAGGCATTAAAAACACAATAACTAGTTACTAAGGATGCAAAAGCACACATACATTAAATATCTGCAGCTGCATCCTATCTAAACAGCTTTACCTAACACAAAAGCAGACGTTTACTTTCACATGCCCTTCTTACTTAAAACCAATTCCTCAAAGACCTTTTATTAATATATTTGTTAACTGGTCTATAAAAGTGACACTTTACAATCACACCCTAGTTCTATAGTTATTAACTGAAAAAAGCCTCATTCTTACTATGCAGAAATAAATTATTTGCAGATCAGCTAGGCTTCTCTTTGATCCTACTGCATCTTAGCCCTATCACGAACTTGGAAGAATAATGGTATAGAAAAATCTGAAAACAAAACACCTCAGGTTCATAGGGGGACAAGAATCATAATTATTTTCCTATACTTAAAAAAAAATTGAACCTTAATTTGCTTGTCTTTTACCACACATAATCAAAAGTAAACAATCAATACATATATCAATTTTGAATATATTATGCTTAGGCACATACCATAGAGGTCCAAGTTCTATTGCTGTCTTTCCAGGCATGCTTCCATGACAGTTACAGGGTAGCTGTCTATATGGGTTTTCTGTGAAAAAATAATAAAAAGAGAAGTCAAAGGGGAAATGACAATGTAAACAGTAGTATTATATTAACAGTAATTTGCAGCTACAATATACTGAGGATCTACTATGTGCCAGGTATTGTGCTAAGTATTTTATATGCATTAAAAAATTTTAATCCTTAAAACTGAAGTAGGTACTGTTAAGATCTCAGTTGTATAGATCAGAGGATTAAAGCTTAAGAAAGACGTAGAAATCCACATCAAACGACTTATTAGAGGCATAGCTTTTAGTCAGTATACTACCTGAAATAATTTAAGTAGGAGAAAGTCTTGTAAATTCCACAAGATATCCATATTTTAAAATCAACTGATTGGGGTATAATTTACACGCAGTAAAATGTATACATTTTATGTGAAAAGATTGATGAGCTTTAACAAATGTATATACCCTGATAACTAACATCCCATCAAAATAAAGACATTTCTTATAAGTTAACTCTTCTGTAACTGGGAAGAAAATGAATTACTCTATTCCCTAGGCTCGATGCATATTCAGCCCCAAAAATCTAGGCTAGAAGAAACTAATTCAGTTTAAAGAGCAATGAGGGGCCTGATGTAATCACAGGGTGACTGGGGAGGTACGAGAGCTATTCTTAGTTTCCAAAAAAGGGTGATATTCTACCATGGACTTTTCAGTTCACTTCAGACCCAGAATAGTCATTTTAAATCAGACTCTCTCTGAGTTCCCCCAGGCCATTCCTGGGTTGATCATTCACTTTCTTGGAATGGCCTGATGTGATCAGTGGGTCCTAGATATATCCAGACCCAGGATTATGGTGGTAGGGACATGGGTCTATAACCTCTTGCTATCTGATATCACTCTGTCATTCAATGCAATTAAATGGCAAAATGCACAGTTGTAAAATCTTATATTTACTTAAAGGCTTCCTTCATTGTTCGTTCCTAGGTCTACCTTTCAGCCTTAAAAGAAGGTGTGGTTATCATTGACCTTAGATTTGTTGAGAATGACGTTCCTCAGTTATTATATTAATATATTCAAGAAGTTCTCCCTGGAACCATTAAATAACTAAACTACAAATACTACAGGCAGGGTTACTGAAATTAGGGTGATTTACAGTTATGGTTCTGTCAGTCACACCAACTTACCGCCGACAGCACAGACATAAATTTGTATTAGTCAATTTGTTTCCTGATGCATTTTGCAAAATGCTCCCATCATATAAACCTATATCTTTTTTCAAGCCCCTCACCTCGGATTTCTCAGTGCCTGGTCAGCATCAGCATCTTGAGGGATCAGGGCTATCATTTCAAGTTACCAGTAGCAAAAAATGAAGGGGTAAAAAAAGAAAACTAGTATTTCTATGTCACTGGTAAAACAGGCTATGAAGGTAATTCCAGATAAGGAATTCAAACATATTTAGAGACTTTTATTTAAATGCAATGGACTGAACACATACTTTATCTCTGCTGTTTCTTAAAGCATTATTAAAATGAGAACAAAGGAATAAAATTCAAACCCCAAAGATAAATAAAATGGTAAAGGAGATGACAAAAGATGATGAGAGATGTCAATAAAATTTTAGAAGTGGGAAGGACATACACAAGGGGATTTAGCAGGTCAGAGAAAGCTAAAGCCTAAGCCTGAAATGGGTAGAAAGGCTACCAATAAACAGCAAGCCCACTGGGGTGGGGGACCTGGAAAGGCTTGAGAATTGAAGGTATTGATGGTCTCTGAAGATGGGAATAGGGTGGTACCACAAAAAAAAAAGGCCTCGTTTAAAATGTTAAGACTTGTGGATCTTCTCTAATATCAACAGTTAGGCTTCTGCGTCTTCCCCATCCCAAAAGAGGAAGTTAATCTTGGGTGAGGCTGAACCACAGAGAATCTGGAACCAGGGACATTAGTCACAGTTAAGAGTGAAGAGACATGAAAAGAAAGGGACTAAGTAAAAGTCTGTACAAATGTTAAGACCTTCCAGTCTCCTTCTTCAACATGGTTCCTAGAAAGCTGATAGAAGACTGCAAGATTCCTCTGTAGAAATACTTACCAATCCAAGAGAAAAGACACACACCCACACACACACACACACTCTGACTGACTGGCATTTGGGGGTTCTTGTAGTGAAAAGGCAGACTGTTCTCATTACAGTGAAGTCTATCTGTTTATAAGCCCTGCCGCAAGTACTTCCACATAACTTTTCAGCATGGAAAACTAAAGACCACTAGACATTTGAGATATACTATGAGAGAGAACAAAATTACAAAAGAGAGAAATAGGAAAGAGAACTAAAACAAAATAATGGCAACAATACAAAAATAAGCAAAACAAAAATCCTATCCTCCCCTAAAATATAAAATATACCCAACTATAATCAATAGTCTTAGACAGGTAAGATTAGATTTTACATCTCTGAAACAAGAATAGGATACTACTAAAAAGGGGGCAATGAAAAAATATGAAATAACTCTTGGAAATGAACCAAGTATGACAGAAATTTAAGCAGGAAAGTTGGAAAATGAAACTCAAGGAAATCTATAAGTAGAACTAAATGCCAACTAAATTAATAGTAGAGATACAAAAAAATTAGAGAATTAATCTAGAAGATCCATCATATAACTAAAATGCGTTCCAGGAAGAGAGAAGAGATATTTTGAGAGAAGAAAATTATCAAAGAAATAATAGAAAAAAATTTACCAGAACTGAAGAACTCAAGTTTAAGGGCTCACAGATTATCCAGCACATTGAATTTAAAAAGATGAAATCACACACAAAATGAAGTTATTTTAGAATACTAGGTTAAGAAGAGATATTTTAGGAGCACTCGGAGACAAAAACACAAAGGACCATATATATATAAGAACAGTATCAGACTTGTCAATATTGGAGGCTAAGAGACAATGGAGTAATATCTTAAACATTCTGAGGAAAAACGATTTCCAACCTAGGCTTCTATACTTGGCCATGCAATCCTTCTCAGGAAGCTATGGGAAAAAGTGTAGTTTCAAAAGGTGAAAGTAAAGAAGGAAAAGTGGAAAATACATAAGGTTTAAGATATAGGAAATTCGTCAGAAGGAGAAAGCCAAAGAAAGTTTCCAGTATGATGATCTAAAAGGAATCCCTAGGGCAACAGCTCTCAGAAGACCTAGAAAACAACCCAAACTAGAGCAGGAGGACTGTCTCCAGGGGAATGAAATGAAACCCAAAGATTAGTTGATATTCTTAACCAAAATCACAGGAACACTGAAATTGGATTATGGATTATGAAAAGTATATACACAAAAGGTGACAAATACATAGTAATTATTAATTCCAGAGTAAGCAAAGAGTTGTATAAAAAAAGAAATGTTATTACATCATATTAACTGGTTCATCTGTGTTGTAGCAGCCTTCTAAGATAGGCAGCAATGATTCCTGTCTCTGGCATTCATACCCTTCTATAATCCCTTCCTCTTGAATGTGAGATCACTGGATCTAGAGACTCATTTCTAGTGACTAGAATATGGCAATATTCTCTCTTTTTCTCTTTCCTTCTCTTCCTTTCTCTCTGGTTCTTGCTTAATCCTTCCAACGAAGTGAGCTGCTATGCTGTGAGTATGAAGAGGACTGCATGACAAGCAGTAACCATGTGAATGAGCTTGTAAGCAGATCCTTCCCCAGTCAGGCCTTGATGATTGCAGCCCTGGCCAACACCTTGACTGTGGCCTGTGAGAGACCCTCAGCTACTGGACCCAACTGAACCATACCCAGATTCTTGACTCAGAGAAACTATGAGATAATAAAAGTTGTTTCAAGCCACTAAGTTTTGGGAGTAATTTGTTACACAGTAATATATAACCAATATGACTTGTAAATATTTTTATATTTATAAAAATATAAACACTGAATATTGATTAAGCCAACACTGGAGAGGAGAACTACATGCATGTGACTGGGCTGGCCTGAGATGCTGAATACTTTTCTTCCATGAAAGGAAGTTACAGGCAGTATAAGCATGCTACTTAGAGATAGGGAAGACACTAAACATTAAAGACTTTAAATATTAGAAGAAACAGCTATGAGGTTTTAGCTGTTGACTTTAGGGAGTGGGGCAGATATCATTTTATTAATAAGACTTATGGAACTATTTAACTTTTTAAATTATGTATTACAAATTGATAAACATAAAAAATTCTAAGTGACCTGACTTTTTTGAAAGACATAATCATTTACACTCTGCAAGTCCTGTATGATTACAAATAAAATGCAGACAACAAATCATATTGCTTTATAGCAATTTATTAAGTAAAAAATTCTTTAAAATGTTTAATTAGGGGGAGGGGGAGGGATGGATTAGGAGTTTGGCATTAGTAGTTGCAAACTACTACATTTAGAATGGATAAACAACAAGGTCCTACTGTATAGCACAGGGAACTATATCCAATCCCCTGGGATAAACCATAATGGAAAAGAATATAAAAAAGAATGTATATATGTGTAGAACTGAGTCACTTTGCTGTACACCAAAAATAAACATAACACTGTAAATCAACTATGTCAATTAAAAAAATATTAAAAAGAAAAACCACTGTAGTAACAGTCCAAAATTATACAGCAACATGAAGCACTTCTGATGGAAAGGGAAAGATGTTAGGTTTTTATGGATTCAGGATCAAATCTGAACAGAGTGTATTTGAGTTTAGTTACTTGTTGATACTGTAAAACACACATGGTGAGATATGAAAGGATAATAAACTCCATGTAAGAAAGAATTGATTCATAATTTTAAGGGCAGGAACACTGTCAGTAACACTGGGGTATGAGGTAAAAAACATTCTTTTTTATTGAGGGAAACTCACATTACTGATACCCTTTTAAACACTGAAGAGGTCTGTTATTTCTTACATAAAGGAAAACTGAATTAGGAAAAAACAGAAAAGAAACCATAGGGCACTAAACCAATTATCCAGGAGGACCAAAACTTTCCAAAGTTTCATCAAAGATATTTATGAAATCTATATTTTAAAAAGCCAGAATGGATTCTGTAACTCCTCGGATTATGTTGCATTGAAACCAAGATTAGGATGGTGGACTGAGCATTTAAACCTGTCTTCTCTTCTTATTCCAAATCTCTAGAAATGATAGAAAATATATTTTTATGAAAAATTCCTAAATAGTGCTGGAAAATAAGATGAGTCATCACACATCCCAAATCATTCAGTGCTTTCTGAAAGCCTACAAGCTGTGAGATCATACTACTGGAAGAAAACCACACTGGGGAGAATAGCTATTAAAGGCAGAAATAGGGGCTTCCCTGGTGGCGCAGTGGCTGAGAGTCCGCCTGCCGATGCAGGGGACACTGGTTCGTGCCCCGGTCCGGGAGGATCCCACATGCCGCGGAGCAGCTGGGCCCGTGAGCCATGGCCGCGGAGCCTGCGCGTCCGGAGCCTGTGCTCTGCAACGGGAGAGGCCACAACAGTGGCAAGGATGAATGGCACTAGAGTAGCTCTAGGACAACTGTTAAAGGGATTGGTTAGAAAACTGTACTTGAAGCAGCTTACAATTATATAACTCCTCTAATCCATGATTAGTAATTACAGAAGATATTTGTCTTCAGTTTGAAGTGATAAAGGTTTAGGTTGGAGAAGCAAGATAGTGCCCCAAATTTGATAAAAAACAATTATCTAGGGCCCTAAGAAGCTCTGAATTCCAAGTAGGATAAACAGAGAGACTCACTCAGACACATCATAATCAAACTGCTGAAAGCTACACAGAAAATCTTGAAAGCAGTAAGAGAAAAATAACTTATCAAGTATGAGGGAACAACAATACAATTAATGGGGACTTCCCTGGTGGTGCAGTGGTTAAGAATCCTCCTGCCAAAGCAGGGGACATGGGTTTGAGCCCTGGTCTGGGAAGATCCCACATGCCGCGGAACAACTAAGCCCATGCGCCACAACTACTGAGCCTGCACTCTAGAGCCCACAAGTCACAACTACTGAAGCCCACGTACCACAACTACTGAAGCCCGCGTGTCTAGAGCCTGTGCTCTGCAACAAGAGAAGCCACCGCAATGAGAAGCCCGCGCACCACAACAAAGAGTAAACCCCGCTCGCTGCAACTAGAGAAAGCCCATGCACAGCAACGAAGACCCAATACAGCCGTAGATAAACAAATTAATTAATTAAAAAAAACAATTAATGGCTGACTTTTAATCAGAAGGCACTGGAATGACATAGTTGAAGTGCTGAGAGGGAAAAAAAAGAACTATCAACCAATAAGTCTACGTCCTTTTTTGAACTATCCTTCAAAAAAGAAGGTGAAATAAAGACATTCTCAGGTAAACAAAAACTAGGAGAATTTGTTGTAGCAGACTCACCCTATAAGAAATACTAAAGGGGCTTCTTCAGGTTGAAAGGATATTTTACAGAGTAATTTGAATCCAAAGGAAGGAATAAAGAGTACTGGAAAGGTAATTATGTGGGTAACAATGAAAGATACATGTGTGTCTCTTAATTTTCTTTTAAACTCGTAAGATTTAAAAAATACTACTATATTATTGGATTGGGTCTGTAGATGTAATTAACATATGACAAAAATAGCAGAGGAGGTGAGAGAAAAATAGAATTATATTAGAGCAAAGTTGCCACATTTTGCCAGTCTTAAGTCAGTATTAACCTGAGGTAGATGAAGATAAGTTAAAGGTATTATTATAATCCTTGGAGAAACCATTACGAAGATAACTGGAAAAAACATAGCTAAGAAACCAACAGAGGAATTAATTTAAATGACACAGTAAAAAAATATTTAACACTATGAAGGCAGCAAAGGAGGAACACAGAAGACATGAGATACATATAAACAAATAGTAAAAGTGCTGAAAAGCCAAACATTTTAATAACTACATTCAATATGAATGGTTTAAACACTCATCAAAAGGCAGAAACAATCAGGTTGGATTAAAAAAGCAAGATCTAATAAGACACTTACAGATTAAAACTAAAAGGATAAAAAATATATTATGCAAATAGTAACTATGAGAGCAGTATTTGTATTAATATCAGACTATAGGCTTTCAGATAAATATCAGGGATAAAGACAGACATTTCAAAATGACAAAAGAGCCAAAGATGATACAACAATTTTAAATATATATGAATATTTTTAGATAAAATGATAGTTAAAGAAGACAGGTTGAAGAGAGCACATGCATAATAGTACAATGTAAGACAAATATTAGAATTAAAAAATATTTAAGAAAGCTTTCTTGAAAGGATATTTGAAGCTACATGATGAAAGGGGATGCCATGATTAGGAAAAATCCTAAAAATAAGGTTAGAACATAGTATTTCAAAAGTAAATATTCCTTTGGGAAGCCAGGCAAAATATTTATGTCACATAAAAGAAGGAAAAGTTACAATAATATTCAGTAATAGAAGACAATAAAAGAATTTTGACAAGGCACTCAAACTCTAAACTTTTTAAGTATAAAGCTATAAACAGGGAGCTTTAAACATGCAAGAAATCAAAGAGTATTTTCCCCATGAACCCTCTTGACTAAACTCAGAAGTTAAATTTAGCCAACCAACACATAATTCAAGAAATTATGGCAAGAACATTGATGATGGGCACTGAATATATTTAATGTGTGGATTATACTGGCAAAATAGAATATAAATGTTACATATAACATAAAAATGGTATAATGGACAAAAATTAGGAAGGGAAAATGGAAAATGGCAGGCTATTACCTCATGTTACCAAAAAGCCAAAGTATATTACTTAAAACCGATAAATCCAAATTACAGAAACATACACATATTTGCTACTACAAAAGTAAACATTAAGAAAATAAACAACAGACTAGATAAGTCAGTATCTAATATAGTTAAGAGAAAAGGGCAGAAAGGACAAATACTAAAACTTTAAAAAATAAGGAGAATATAACCATAGAAACCAAAGAAATGAGAATCATTAGACAACACTTGGCTCAACTCTACGCAAATAAATTAGAAAAGCTGAGTGAATACTATTAACCCTTTAGTGAACAAATAATTCTGATGCTAGCTAAACTGTTCCCAAGCAATGTAAAAGTTCCAAATTCTTTTTGAAGGGGATTTAAACTAATTCTAAAGCCCAACCAAAATTATTCTAAAAAGGAAAACTATATACCATCTTATTTATGATATTGAAACAGAACTCCTTTAAAAAGTTAGTAAACAGAATCCATAATAAAAGAATACTTCCTGACAGAGTAGTTTATTCTAGAAAGAATGATTTGATATTGGGAAATTTTATTACAGTTAATCAAATTAATAGATCTAAGGAGAAATACCATATAATCACCTCCACAGATGCTGAAAAAACGTGACAAAATTCAACACTGTGATAAAACATAGTAAAATTGTAAATGAAGGTTACTTTCTCAATATGATAAATGATAGGTATCTCAGATTCAAGTATGAATCAGAAAGCACCAGAGGGAACTAAAACAAGGAACATGACAGGATGTCCTCCATTCCTACTATCAATTAACACTGTAGCAAAAGTATTAACTCTTGGACAAAAGAAAAGTATACTGGGTTCTTAGGAAGCTTCAGAACTGTAACAATATCTCTATCCTCCTTAATGTGATCAAGATAAACCACCAACTGGTTTATTTATTTATTTTTTGTTAAGCCAAAACAAAGGATCCAATGTCAGAACACTGTAAATAGAGCTATGAGAAGGGATTGTCTTAACAGATATTGAACAACACTAAAAGTCTTCTGTAATCAAAACAGTGGGATAGAGGTGTATGAACATCCAACCACTGGAAAAGAATAGAAAATCCAGAAACAAACTCAAATACATGTGGGATTTTAGTATAAGATAAATATGGTAGTCTCAAATCAGTGAAGAGGTGAACTATTCAATGAAACATAACCTTCCTTGAATAATATAGGATAGGAAAGCTCTTTCCAACTACAGACAAAATCCAGAGTACATTAAAAGTTTGATTAACTTAACAACAGCAACAATGAAAAATCTCTGCATGAAAAGGTAAAAAAAAAAAAAAAGATGCAAACACAAGTGACAAAATGAGAAAAAATATCTGCAACTATCATATCATATCACAAGGGTTAAACTCTAGTATATAAAGGAGTTCTTAAAAATCCATGTTTAAAAAATGCCAAGAACCTAACAGAAAACAATGGGCAACTCTATGTCCCAGAAAAGCAAAATAGAAACAGCTTGATGAGGGCACAAGCCACATCTTTTTCCTTGATTCCCCAGGCCTGGCATATAGTAGAGGCTCAATAAATGTTTACTGAATGAATTTTATAACTGATGGCTTTTATATTCAGTCAGAAATATGAAAATTATTTTTATAGAATTAATGATTTGAAACATCCTAGATAAAGAGGAAATCTGACTTAATGTTCCTAAAATTAGTGACAGTGGAAACTAAGTTATTTCTAGATGTTTCAACAGAGGGCAGGGCTAAAGAGCATAAATTATGATGAGAATGATTTTAATGAACTCACACGAATGTCTTGTCTGTTGATGAAAGGAAATCCAGTATAGGAAATAAAGTTAGCACTGTAATCTTTAAAATCAAAGGACAACAATATGTATAATTAGGGATGTGATAAAGGCTTATTCATTGGAGGCTTATACATAAATTAAACCGAATATACAGTCAAAAGAAACTTGAATTTACCTTCTACCATATTACCATCCTTCTGAAAAATTCTCTCTTCACACCACTGACAATGGATTAGGTACTGAATCTTCTTGGCTGTTTCATCTGCAGAAGTAGGCCCCCTCAAAACTCTCACAACAACCAATACAAAATGTTCCAGAGCCACTGCAAACAGTACTTCTATGCCTTTGTTACATCGGGCTGCAGCTCTGGAAAAATTTATTAAAGTTATTTTGGGAGCTTATCATTTTCCTTTGTTTGGCATTATACTGACAATACTAACTTGGACACTAAACTATGGATGGGTTATGGGAAAATAAGGAAAATTCAATTCTTAGTAGCAGTGATTTTAAAAGATCATTACTATAACTTCTACACAAATTGAAACACAGGATATATAGGATGCTTGGCAGGATTTTAGTAACTACACATTTTCCCTTATGAAATCTCAATGTTCTCTGGTTTTCAGTGTCACTTTGTTTCTTGTCATCACAACCATCTTTCTTTCTTTTTATCTACTTTTTTCTATAAAAGCTTCCTCTAAACAATATATGTTTATTGAGTACTAACTACATGCAGGAACTGAACAGTCAGTGAAAAATGAATAAGCAAAGTCCTTGCCATTATTACTTTTATATACTTTTGGATTAAATTCTACTTGATACACCATTTATGTACTTAGTTTTCCCTCTACAGTTCTGAACTAACTTAAACTTTGTATGTATTGATTTGAATCAAGTTTATAAGCCATCATTTTTTTAAACTACATAAATAAAAGATGAAATGGACATTAAAAAATGATTGTTTCTAAATCTAAAAACAGGCTTTGCTTTCCCTTTTCATGGTGCTGTCCCCTACATTGTTGAAATAAACTGATTTGAAATTAACTTTCAATATTTTCTTTCTTAGTACTTTAATTATTTTAATAACATTTTAAATTGAAGAGTAAACTATTTTAGGCACAAGCTTTTAAATCAAATTCTAACATAAGATTACCAAACAAATCAAGATTACACATATGGAATACGCAATTTGTATTTCGTGCATATTTTGAAGAATGAAATAAACACTTCTTGTAATATTATTTCTTTTTATCGTATACCCAGACAAGGTACACTGTTGGCCATTTGGTACCTTGCCACTGCAGCTACAACAATTCTGGCTGCTAGCTCCTTGTAATATTCAGTTCGGACAATGTTACAGCCGTAGTGACGCCGGGCAACATGTTGTGCCTTGGCATATAAAGAACTGATATCTGTAGAAGTCACTGACACTATGCCAAGGTTTCTTATATTTCTGAATGCAGAATCAAGATAGTTCACAGATGTTCCAAAAGGGTCTAGGTGTCTAAAATCACAAAGAATACAGACATATTTAAAATCATACTAGTATCCAAAATAATACCATTGTCATTATTTCTAATGACAAAATTCCATGGATTCAAAAGGACTTCATAAATCTATTTTAAATACATAATTATGTTTTTAAAGTAAGCAATAAAATGATCATATGATATGTTAGACATGTAAAAATAAATCAGGCTTAGAGGAAATTGTCATGCCCAGGCATTTTATTTCAAATGCTTAGAAAATGTTCTTACTGCTTTCCTTAGGCCAATGCCAAAAAAACTTTATTAATTTAAATAAACAAACAGTGACAAACTATGTTAATTTTTAACGGCCCCCTTCCTACCCCGTCTCCCGCCAAATCCAAGTCAGTTTGGAAAGTGACACAATTTTTTTCACTTACATGAAATCAAAAGATCTCAAATGCATCAGTACATTGGCATCCATTTTGGTCACCTTAATATTACCAAAGTTTTCCTCTCCTTCTTCAGGAATATCATCACTCTCTTCCTTTTCCTTACTGTCCACTACCACTTTCAATTTGTTTAAATGGCAGTTCTCCTGAATCAACATCACAGAGTTTTCATTCAAATCATTAATTGTAACCTTGACTGCATTCCCAAGGTGTTTTGCCCATTGTAATCCCATTATCCCTTGGGAGAAATTGGAGGAAAAATGAGTTTTTAAATTGTTAATAAAGAATAAAAGTAGTATAATAATAAAGAATATAATTTTATAAATAACAAAAACAATTCTTTCAAAATCTTAATACTTTCATAAGTAATTCTTATTCTACTTTCTCACTAAAATGCCTCTGAAGAAAATTTACCACAAGAAAATGTGTCCAACAGATTTCCATTAATAGTTTGTAAAAAACTTTTCTATAATCCATGTTCAAATAAAATATCCATGTATGTTCTTTATTTGGGCTTTGGTAGGATTTTTTTTTCTTTCTTTTTACAATGGAATACTTTTTTGAAACAAAATCTTACAGAGAAACCCAATATACAATATGAGTAAGAGTGCAGTTACTGTACTTGAAGGGAAGATGGGTAGTTGGAACTCCTCCTGCTGAAGTTTACCCTAATGCACCAAAATATGAAAACAACTTTCCTGGATCAGTGCTTTTCAAATACTGCACAACAGCATCATTGTGAATGAAAAAGAACAACTTTGTATGTGTAAGCAAATGACCAAGAGGAATTGAGACCAAGAGGGCCCTTCTCACAGGCTTTCTATTCCTATTGGACTTGAGTCATAAGGGACATTCACTACACAGTGGGAGAGGGTGACACAAGCCTAGCCAATATGGAGTAGAAAAACCCCTATTTATGGGAAGTATTAACCATCTTCTCCCTACATGTGCTTCATAAATGTAAAAAGTTAGCATTTACTATGTGCCATGGTCTTTACATATATTTTCCTATTCTTATAACAAGCTTGTGAAGTAAGTTCCAATATTCACATTTTATATTTATTTATTTGTTTGCATTGGATCTTAGTTGTGGCAGGTGGGCTCCTTAGTTGCGGCTCACCAGCTTCTTAGTTGTGGCACGTAGGCTCCTTAATTGCAGCAGGCAGGCTCCTTAGTTGCGGCTCACTGGCTCCTTAGTTGTGGCATGTGAACTCTTAGTTGCATCATGCATGTGGGATCTAGTTCCTGGACAAGGGATCAAACCTGGGCCCCCTGCATTGAGAGCGTGGAGTCTTAACCACTGCACCACCAGGGAAGTCCCTATCCACGTTTCAGAGATGGGGAAACATGCAAAATGACTGCTATGAGCTTGATTTTAGTTTACCAAGGCACATTAAAAAGAAAAGGCTGAGAAGATCTTACTTAAATGATAGTTTTAGGGATTTCAGGTAAAAAAAAGAGTAGTTCATTGCATCATTATTTACAGTAGCCAAGACATGGACACAATCTAAGTGTCCACAGAAGGATGAATGAATAAAGAATATGTGGTGTGTATATTTATATACATACCCAGTGGAATACCATTCAGCCATAAAACAGAAGGCAATCCTGCCATTTCAGACAACATGGATGGACCCTGAAGGCAGTATGCTAAGTGAAATAAATCAGAAAAAGACAAATACTGTATGATCTAACTTACATGTGGAATCTAAAAAAACCAAACTCACAGAAATGGAGATCGGATTTGTGGCTGCCAGAGGTGGAGACTGGAAGGTTGGGAGAACTGGGTGGATATGGACGGGTACAGACTTGCAGTTACAAGATAAGTATGTTCTGGGGATATAATGTATAGCAGGGTGATTATAGTTAATGATACTGTACTGTTTATGAAAGTGACTGACTGAAAGTGACTAAGAAAGCAGAACGTAAAAGTTCTCATAAAAACGGAAAAAAAAATCTGTAACTATGTGAGGTGATGGATGTTAATTTTGGTGATCATTTTACAATATATACATATCATTATGTTGTATATCTAAAACTTATACAATGTTGTATGTTGATTATATCTCAATAAAACTGGAGGAAAAAAAAGAAAAAAAATGACTCCACTATCAAGAAACGTATATAGTACCCAGTCTAGGATAGACATTTAATAAATTTTATTGAATGTAAAAAGAGAGAGAGAAGTTGTGTCAGGGAAAATGCTGGGAAATAAATCTGGAAAAGTAGATTGGGTCAGATTATAGAGGATATTAAATTGCAATCTGAGAAGCTGAACTCTATTTAGACAATAAAGATGCATGATTTTTTTGACTGAGAAGTAACATCAATTCAGTGTTTCAGAGGAAAGGCTGTTTGCAATAGCATACAAGACAGACTGGGTGGGAGAGATATCATTGCCAAAAATCATTACATTGGTGGATATGGAATGGAAAAGGAGTACGAGTCATAATAAAAAAGAAAAATTAGAACAGATCAGTGGTTGAGTGTATGTGGGGACAGTGGCAGAAAAAGGAGTAAAAATTGATTCAAGTTTAAAATACGACTGGTGGGACTTCCCTGGTGGTCCAGTGGTAAAGAATCTGCCTTCCAATGCAGGGGATGTGGGTTCGATCCCTGGTCGGGGAACTAAGATCCCACATGCCGCAGGGCAACTAAGCCTGCGCGCCACAACTACTGAGCTCACCCACCTCTACTAGAGAGCCTGCGTTCCGCAAACTACAGAGCCTATGTGCTCTGGAGCCCACGCCACAACTAGAGAAGAGAAAACCTGCATGTCACAACTATAGAGAAGCCTGCGTGCCACTACGAAGAGCCTGCGCACCACGAGTGCCGCAACAAAAGATCCCACATGCCACGATGAATATGCTGCATGCTGCAACAAAGACCCAACCCAGCCAAATAAACAAACAAATATTAAAAAAAAAAATCCAACTAGCTCAGAGAATGTGATCAGCTTAACATCACTACTTCATCACTTTTACCATATTTACAGAGACATTACTGATGATGATGATGGTAGCAGAAGTGGTAATAATACAATAATGATGATACTGAGTGCTTTTGTAGCATTTGCTATATACCAGACACTTCCAATTTCTTTATATGTATTAATTTACCTAATCTTCACATTATTTTATGGTGGGTACCCTCCTTTAGATAGATGAGGAAACTGAAGCATAAATTTCGTGTGGTTAGACAGCTGCCATGTTATAAAGCTGGGATTTGAATGCAGCCAGTTTGATTCCACAGTCCATGTTTTTAACCACTAGTTCTCCCTGAGGAGAGGAACTTGAGAGCTAAGTCATGCTTTCATCCTATTGGTACAAACTTCCCAAGAATACACTCCTATAACCTTTAAGAAGTAAGATGTAGATTAGGTACAAGTGGCTTCTTAGAAATTTTCTACTTTTTCCATTATCTTTTCTCTACTGTTAAGTCCTTTTGGGAAAAATGTTCTCAATCTTTAAAATTTCACCTTACCCCACTGCCTAATGACTAAGCAATATTTACTGCATCACAAAAAAGAGACAACCAAATACCAACTGATAACTGAATGCAGTAAATGTGTATTCTTGCAGAAAAAAAAAATCCTATCTGAATCTGATCAAACCTGAAGATCCAACTACCAATTTATAGAAATACGAGAGATAGAGGAACCATGTGATGGTTCATCTTATATGAACCATGGTGATGCAATCAGCAAAAATCTAGACTGTGGGAAACTCTACAGGGCAAATGACCTGTTATATCAACAAATAATTATCACACATACACATAAAATGATGGAAGGTAATATAGATTAAAAAGAGACTTAAGAGACATACTAAACAATTGAAATATATAGTCTTTGTTTGAATTAAAAAAAATTATGAAATAGGCATATCTAAACATTTGATGATATTAAAGAATTATTCTTAAATTTTTAGGTGTGATATGGTATATGGGTTTTAATTTTAAAAAGTCCTTGTCTTTTACATATCCCATTGAAATATTTATGGATGAAATGATCTGTGATTTGTTTCAAAATAATGGGGATACAGAATGGAGGAATGAGGTATGAGGGAAAGTGCATGGGAATACATATACAAGACTGAGTATGAATTGGTAATTTCTGAAGTGAGTGATGGATATAAAGGGATTCATTTATTATATGCTCTACTTTTGTATATATTTGAAAATTTTCCATAATAAAAAAATTTACCTTGGATCTTTTTTTTATATCAAAATATTTTGCTACATATGATATCCATATAAATTTCCTAAGAAAAGATACTGTACCGGAAGGTGGGCAAAAGGTACAAATTTCCAATTATAAGATAAATAAGTACTAGGGATGAAATGTACAACATGATGACTATGTATAGGTTACACTGGTATATAGGAATGTTAAGAGGGTAAATGCTAAGAGTTCTCATCACAAGGAGAAATATTTTTTCTTCTTTCTTTTCTTCTTATCGTATTGTATCTACATGAGATGATGGATGTTAGCTGAACCTACTGTGGTAATCATTTCACAATATATGTAAAGCAAATCATCATGCTGTACACCTCAAACGTGTACACCTGTACAGTGATGTATGCCAATTATTTCTCAATAAAACTGGGAAAAAAATCTCTTCAGGTTCACATGATATAAACAAACCCTTAGTTTTCAAAGTGGCTAAACAACAGAAAAAAAAAGGGAAAGAAAAGATACTGTACAGATCTGATAAAGTGGGGTTCCAAAAAGGCTTCATTACTTACCAGTAGCTCCAAAGGCATCTAGACATTCCAAAGGTTTTCGTTCCTTAGCCAAAGCAGCCAGTGTACAGAATATTAGCTGCCTAGAAGAAAGTATAACAATCAAATAATTTTACGGCACCATGGTTTCATCATTGTAGATTTTATTTTAAGAATAGTGAGAAATGGGGCTCCTGTTTACTATGCAAACTATTTTGGAAAGAGACCTAATAGTATATTCCTTACTTAACAGTACAAGAACTAAAAATCTGTGAAATTAAACTACAAATCGAATTGGGTTTTATTAACAAGTATTCACGATGAATAATGATTTTATAAATAAAACTTGCCCACAAACTTGCCCAACATGTTCATTTAATTATATAAAGTTAGACCTGTTTTACTCTCTGAGAAAGAAATTGGTTTGGCAGAAAAATAAAAGAGAGAAAACAGTCATTCTGAGAAAATGCTAAAATAAATGATTTTCAATCTATACCTAGTTTTAAGTTTCAATATATTAAAACAAAAAGATTAAGAAAAGGTACATCTGTAATTATTTGAAACATCCCATAATCCTGTTTTCAATTTATCTTACCGATTTAGTTTCATTTTGGGATTAAAATAGGAATCTGTTTTCTGAGGTACAGAATAGTTGGGACAAACTTGTACATCTGTGTCTGCCTCTTTTAAAATTTCATTAGGTGGTTTGGCAGCAGAAGCTAAAATTACAAAAAAAAAAAAGATTTCCAGTGAAATACAAAATAATTCTAAATATCAAAAACAATATACATTAAAAAATAACCTTCCTTTATAATATTTCATGTTAATGAAATCAGTTGAGTAGATGCCAAAAAAGTCCCCCCAAACTGACCTACCTAGCACTGTCTCTGGAAAAGAGTAGTACTCAGTTAAGTATTTGGTGAATTAAAGTTTGTCAGCTTAAAATCTTAATTGTCTAGCACATCAATATATCTGTATACCTAGTTAAGAATAATCAACCTAAGATAGTACAAAATCCTAAAATACCTTTATTACTCATGAAACACTACATTGTGTTTATATAGGTTGGTTGCTAAATATATTTTATTGTGATTTAAACATTAGAAAATTAACCTTTCTGTGTAGTTACATTCCATTAGCCGGCATGGATGACTAAGAGTCACTATATTTCCTGAATGTGCTTGACTTCAGAACACTTTCTCATAATTATGATTTTAAATCACAAATTATATTCAAACAGCTATAAGCTAATGTAAAAAAATTATTCTACATTTAATATACATTAGAATCATTTAGCTATAAACCCAAATGAAAGTGATGTGTTTGTGTGAATATATTTTAAATATTTAAGAAAGGAAACATATGTAATATGTGTGGGGGAAATATAATTGAGATTCTCTATGTTTGGATTTCTTGATAACATTACTATCAGAATGTTAACTAAATGGGAACCATATTTCCCTTTCTACAATGCCAAATAAAAGTAATCTTTCCTAGTGTTGTGTTACATATCTTTCTATACTCAACAAAGTGTCAAGTAACATGTCTCACAAGATCAGCCTTTCTCAAACCAGGTTCTGTTAGCAAAGTAAGCCCTTCAAATAATTATTTCAGTGACTTTTTGTTTTCAACTCTTAAAGGGAAGGTCCAGAGTACCATTCTAGATGTATAAGAGAGATGTTAATTCATTACATATAATGGATGCCTTAGGGCAGGAGGGCTTAATTCTTAATTCTTGAGAACGAACTGTCTCAGTATTAACAAGCTACTAATAACTTGATATCACTCAGGATAATAAAGAGTCTTTATATATCACTCTACCTCCTTTTTCCAGTGTTTTTCGATAATAAGTATAACACAGTTATTGGTACAAGAGCCATCATTCGTAATAAAATTCTATAGTCTTTCATTAAGATACCTATATTTACTTGAACATCAGTTACTTTTTTCTACCCATATTTAATATCTATCCCAGATATTAAATATATCTGTTAAATTGAGAACAGTTGAATATTGTTGGGAGTCTCACAAAACAAAACAAAACAAAACAAGACAGATTAGTAGTTAACTAAATGATTTGGTTAAGTCACTGTATTTTGTCTGCTTGATATCTGAAAAGAATAATTAGACCATTGTTTAAGAATTTACTTATTAACATGCTAATGAGATTGCTCAACTTACCAGCAATATACGTGGATTTAGTCTCTCCTTTATTCACATGGCGCCTAACATGTCCTAGCATATCTGTCCTTCTGGTAATTGTTGCTGAACAAATAATACAATGATAATGGGCTCCCATTTTACTGGATATCTATCAAACAGAGTATTTAATTTAAATACATAAATAAGTTACTAAGACAATGAAATAAAAGTTTAATATTGTAAATTTATTTATGTTAGTGTATTTAGGGTTTAACGTATAGAAGATAGTATTCATTTTGCCATGTGACTTTGAAAGGATTTTTACTTCCTTACCTATATTTACATATGCTTTTTAATCTTACTTTACAATAGGCCACAAGTTTAATTTCTTAGTTTTTTCCATTCATTCTAATCAGCAAATAACTGTACTCTATCTTCTATAAGCAGCACTTAACAAACGGTATGACACTAGCAACAATGTGCTGGTAGATGTATAGCAACTGGCTCTCCAGGAAAATAAAGCCCTGATTTGTAGTGTCTGCAGCTGTCTGTGGTTTATGTACTCTACCATGGCCGATATCAAGCTAAAATTGTGACATTTGAAGCTACCAATGTGACATCACTGAACGTGAATTTGGGAAGAGATGTGCAATATCATACCAGAGAACACTGCCACCGTGCAGATACAGAATACATAAATAACATTAAGAGCACAGGTAAAAGTAAAATGTAGTAAAATAAATGGGAAGTTGTGAGTTGTGAGTATTCATTACCTTTGTTTTTAATATAACTTATTTACTTTTAAGTTTATATAATTTAATTTTTGATGATGGCCACATTTAACAACGAAATTTCAAGATTTCTGGAAAATTGAGCTAGTTCTAGCACACTACTAAATGTTAGAGACAGAATAAAAAGTCTATTTTTCCAAGTAAAAATTCTCACTTTATAGTTCCTTATTTAGCTAAGAACAAAAACACCACTCCAACAGCTCTTCCTGCTTTTGATGCCTTTTTACTCTTACGTCCTGTTTACTCGGGATCATAGAGCAAGGAGAGAATAGTCAAGAACATTGCACAAGGTTCCTTATGGCATTGTGGTTATCATATTCAAAACAGATAGGGTTAATGGACTAAGCATTATCCTAACTACTTAAGAAATGTTTGTTTTTTCCCCCCAGTTCTTTACTTTTTTTAGTGACTTGAAAGGAAAATTAATAATGAGGACCCATTAAACTAATATGCATTCAGGATAGTGTCACTATAAAATATTTTATCATTTGTATTCCCCAAAGGTCAAATCTATCCTAAAAGTAAACACACGTACTTTTAAAAAAAAGCTAGTGAGATTTCAGAAAGTTTCTTCATTCTGTCCTTTGACAAAGTAAGAGGAAGAACATAGGGAGGATGACTATGAATCGACACATATTAAGATATTTACTAAACCACAGAAATTAAAGGCTCTTATTCCATGATCAAAATATATTTTGAAAGAAAAAAATTACTATTTAAAAATCTCGATTCCAAAATTAGTAAGTGGGTTAATTTTCCTTTTGAACACAAGAGAGCAGGTGATCTGACTGAAATTAAAAACTTTAAAATGAAAAGTTCAATACAGCAACTTCTTTCATGCATTTCATATTTTTCCTACTATGGTAATCTGAAAGCCCTTGTAAACAAAATCTTAAACTCATTGCTGAATATGCACATTTTAGTCATAAAGCAACTCAAAATTGCACTTTCTTTACGGACAGCTAAATCTAAAAAAAACAAATCTACCACGTGATTACCTGTTCTCCAATAATGTTTGGTTTCACTGGTCGACAAGGTAAGTGACAGATGCACATCCTGTAACCTAGAATGAAGAATGAAGAATTGCTGCTTGTCTATCACTGTTCATTAAGTATTCAGTTATTATTAAAAATTACTAGCAAATTTTATTTTATAAGAATAATTGAGATTATTCTTATATTTGTAATGTCATAGTTTATTTGAATGAGATTGCCTTAGTTTTATGTACTTGCTGTATATGACATAGTATAAAAACAAATGCAGGAGGATCTAGGGTCAAAACCTGGTTCTGCCAAGAATATCTGTGTTACCTTGGTTTAGTCATTTAGCTTCTTTGGGACTCAGTTTTATTGTCTTTCTGCCATCCTGACTTTTTCTTAGGCTTCATCTTCTCTGCCTTATGCTGCATTTACCATTATACAGCCTCTTCATTTACGATACAGCACTATCTTAGTTCTCTTCCCATCTTTCCTACTTAATCTTCTTTACAGATTCTTTTCCCTCTCTCATACTCGAAAATGTAGATTTTCTGTATGCTTGATGTGCTACAAAAATTTTTTCTCATTTCCTTGGTAACTGTAGTGCCTTTCATGATTGCAACTATCTCCCCTGTGAGAAGGAATCCCAAATTATAGCTCTCTTACCAACTCATTCCTGAGGGCCAGATCTCTACTTTCAATTGCCTATTGAAGACATATGACTGGTTATTTCAAAACCTACTGTCGGGAATTCCCTGGTGGTCCAGTGGATAGGACTCCACACTTCCACTGCAGGGCACATGGGTTTGATCCCTGGTCCCTGTTCAGGGAACTAAGATCCCACAAGCCGTGTGACACAGCCAAGAAAAAAATAAAAATAAAAACCCAACAACAATAGAACTCCAAAAAACCTACTGTCAAGGACTAAAATTTTCACTTCCTCTTGAACCAGGTCTCTTTTTCACCTTTTTAATGAATGATAATGCCTTCCAGTTACTCCCAATTCAAAAACTAAGTTATCTTTAACTTCTTTCTTCTCATACTTTACATCCAATCGTTTATTTGTATGTGTTCAAGTGTCTCAGGACTCAGACCTTGGACAACAACTTTTTTCCACCTATATGTACTCTTAAGGTTATCCCACCCAGTCTTACGGCTTTAAATACCATCCATATTCTGACAACTCCCAAATATGTATCTCTAGCCCAAACCTTTTCCCCAAAGTCTAGATTCATGTAGCCTCCAGGCTACTTGATATCTCCACTAGATGCATCTCAACATTTGCATGCCTAAATCTGAGGACTTGTCCTTCTTTCTCAGACCTAATGCAGTCTTCTCCATCCCAGTAAAGGACATTTTTCTAGTTGCTCAAGTCTCAAACACAAGCATTCCTGGCTTTTTCTCCCTCATCTCCCTTCTATTCCTTCAGCAGATCTTATTCAACATATTTGCCAACTACTTTGAAGCCTGCTCACAAAGACAAAATCATGTTCACCATCTACCAGATGACCACCATGTGAAAGAACCCAACAACCTAATGTACATGACAGAGTAAAGCGATACCATGAGCCATCAAAGAGAAAAGAATAACTTGGAGGAGGGAGACCAAACCTAAAGATTAAACAATGGCTTAAATAAAGCAAACGAAAGAGACCTTTGTAATTAAAATGAGATCTTTCTTTTTTGATAAGAAGTCAATATGGTTTACTATACATTCTTATAAATAATTAAACATAAGACATATGGCTTCTGAATTAGTCTCTAATTCCCTTTTCTCTAAGTAATTAGTGATAATCTAAGAAAATAATTCTGGTATAGTTCTGGCTTCTTTTTTTGGGTGTCTTATAATGGCTATTTCATTCAGTCTGGTTGAAACCCCAGATAAGCACATTTAACAAAGACTATACTTATATAATCATATACAAATATAAGTATATACATGTTTAAGATTGATATTTAGGGCTTTTTTGGGGGGGTACTTTTTGTTTTTATCCCATATATTGCTATTTTCATTAGTAGTTTACCATGGAAATCCTTCCAAGTAAACTGGTATAGATGTAATATACTCTTTTCAATGGCTGCATAATATTTCATGGTATGTATGTACCATAATTTATTCAATCTCTTATTTTAGTTCCAAGTTTTTGTCACTAAGCACATGCTGCAATGAATATTCTTGTACACCTATCCTTGTGTATTGCTGCTTTTACTCCTAGGAAAGAG